AGGTGCTGTTCACAGGGCCTGGCGAAACATTGGGAAACAACACTTCAAGACCCCGGCCACACAGCCCGGAAGACCCACACCAGCCATCGTATGCCGGCCGTGAAAGCCTTCGACAATACACTGAGTGACTTTGTCTGCCAGATACCATGAACATTCTTCACCACAGCCCTGGAGATCATCCTATGCACCAAGCCCCCCCCCCCTCATCGGGAGTGGGTCACCCTAAAAGGGCTGCCAGGCAGCTATTGGCAGTTGCAATAAAGGTGGAGAAATAGCAATGTTTTTCCATCCTTATTGCCACAATGTAGGCTCAAATATGGGCTCTTAGTCATCTTTGGTCAGATTTGCTCTTTGTCTTTCTCCAACGGTGCTTAGGTGTCACTTCTGGTGTTTCATCTCTGGGAGCTTTTCAGAAAACCAAGGAGTATGCCGAGATCAGCACCCAGAGAGAGGCCACATAGGAGCAATCCGGTCCAGGGCCTCCACCACATGCTTATTCTGGACTGCAGCCAAGACCTTGGCAGAAATGCCTGACAGGTCCTTAGCAAAAACCCCAAGCACACTCTGGAATCCAACAGGGTCCATTAGTCACCTGGGGCGGGCCACCTCTTTCTAACTATGTGGTTGCTAGGGAAAATGACTTAATGGCACATAATTAATCAAAATCTTAACAAAGGAAGTTTTACTATGAATAAATATAACTACTTACCATCTCTTAAACGATTAAACTATTCTGATACTTGGGCAGGGCTTGGAAATGGAATTTACTGCCTCGGAAAACAGCACCCAGAGTAGATACGGGCACAGAATCATCACTTCTTTTAGCAGGAAAATACAAAGGCCTGGGATCAGCTGAACTAGAGAAAGACAGCCTACAACGCTTTTTAAGCTCAGCGTATATTTGGCTTTTGAATGGCATGCTAGGGATGCATTCCAAAAAGTCATAGGGGTCAGGACAAAAAATAATGGGGTGGCAGTAAGACAAAAGCTAAATTTAATTTAATGTACTTAATTATAGATGACCTGATTATTCTCCATGTATTTAATAGCATTGTCCTGCCACATTAAACATTATAATCTCATAACAA